TTTCAAGATATATATATATTTATTCAACATCCAACTGTGTTTCAGTGGGGATGGCTATTTCCAAGACACATGTGTGTTTATATATATATATTAATATATATACTTGACGATATCCCGTTGCTTGCTGTTCTGCTAATTTGTTATTAACCAAATTAAAAACTGCAACAAGAAATATTTCCTCTTCATCGGCAACATAAAACTGGTATTGAGAAAAATACATTATTGACTGACTTTAACCTTTTCACTGCGCAATTAATTTCCAGGGAGATGATTCTGATGTCTCAGTAGAGGGAAACTTTTTTTTGGTATCCGTGAGGTAAATTTCATTTCGCAGTCAGTTGGTATAAATGTTTATTCGGATATATCCGAACTACGCAGCAAAAGGGTTAAATGATATTAAAGTAGCAATTTTATTTCTCTTTCGAAAATACCCCCTCCCCCCTCTCTCAACGACTCAGCCGTAAATCTGAAGACTTATAACGTTATAACACTTTTAATAACTGTGATGAGGACGGCACAAATAGTCCATTGTGTAGTTTTGCGCTTAGTAACAAAGAAACAAACAAATTTTCGAAAAGTTCTGAAATGAAACGTATTTAACAAAGAGTTACTAAGACCAATGTAGATGGTAGTGTGATTACGATAACGCCACATCCTTAATCTCTTGAGATTTCACCAAATCTGCTCTGGACAAGCATCAGTATTTATTATCGAAAGATGGTATTTGATAGCGTAGTTTTCCTCATATATACACTGCCAGACAAAATAGCCACTGACCACTATGTTTAGTATAAGAGAAAATTACTAATTCTACTAAACTGATGTTTGAAAACGAGGTTTATAAGTTATAAAGTGAGAATTGAATTGGTCTTGTGAAAACAGGAAGTACCAGTGGTTATGGAAAAGGGATAATATTTTTCAATGACCCCAAACATGGTTTAAATATGACATTTGTGAATTAAACATCAGTTAAGATCTGTTGACTTCTTTCTTCTATTAAATATAATTGATTCATTTTGTGGCAGAATTTTAAATTAAAAAGAAGAGTATTATCCGATTCAGTCTACTGCTGCTGAACGAAGCTAAACATACGCGCAGACTGTGTACCAAAGTAATAACTGGCATTATGTCAAGAGATTTTAAACATGTATTAAGGAACGGAAATAAGGATGTGGCGATAATACGTCTTGGTCATCAAAACTGTCCGAAGCTATTATTACAGTGTTGAATAGCACTGAATTACACATTTCAAAGATAAAAAAGTATAAACATTCTTCTGTATGAAAAGGTTTGCATCTAAACACATTGGTTTGCTGACTAAAATAGATCACAAGTGTTAGAAGCACCTGTTGCTTGACACAGCTGGCCTATCTGGTGTTGCCCAACAATAACGCTATATAAATACATTCCGAATCAAACATGTTTTGAACACAGTGCTTTTAACGGTCAGAAAGACCTATTTAGTACCTCCAAGTAGATGTTATTTTGTTATTTCTAAATATGAGAGCCTTAGCTCATAATTATTTGTTTATTTTCGGCTTATCTCTTTTAGTTCTGTTTTCAATTTACGTCTTCAACAGATCAGTGAAAGACAATCGAATTAACCTGTTAACCACTTCATTCAAATCCACGGATCAGAACTTCTCAGTGAATTCTTATGGAAAACCAAAAAAAGTTTTACAAGTAGCATCACCTTTCAGAGAACCTGTTACAAACCGTAGTTACGTGATACTTATATGGATATCTGAAAAAGAACTTGTTGCAACTTTTCGTTCAGCTTTAAAACTGGACAATTTCTACATGAAGGGACAGTTTAAAAATTGCAACTTCAATAATTGCATTATAACGGAAAATATATCAAGAATTCACGTGAGTGACGCACTACTGATTCCGTATCCGGAACTACAAACACTACCTAAGATAACTCAAAGACCTATTGGTCAAATCTGGGTGTTTTGGGCTAAAGATGGACCATTTAACCCTCGCCAGCACTTAGAATGGAAAAGTAAAAGGATTATTAGCTTTTTTAACTGGACTGTCACTTATCGAAAGCAGTCGGATATTGTCTATCAAGGATATGGGTATGCAAAAAAGAAAGCTAATTTGAATGGTCCCCCACGTCAGAATGAAATCAACTTCGCTATTCGTAAAACTCGCTTAGTGGTGTGGCTTGTGTCAAACTGTCAAACAAAATCCCGAAGAGAAAAATATGTAGAACTACTGCAGAAGTACCTACCGGTGGATATTGTCGGTAAATGTAATTATTCCAATACACACATTTCTGAATGTTCAACAAATTTTGGACCTAAGTGTTTCAATTGGATAAGTAAGCAATACAAATTTCTTCTCTCCTTTGAAACTAAGATTTGTAAACAATATATCACTGATATGTTTTTTTATGCTCTGAAACAAAATATTGTACCAGTTCTAATGAGTGGAAAACCTGAACTTTTCGAACTTCCACCAAAGTCGTTCATCAATATTCGGGATTATCAGACACCAGCCAAATTAGCACGGTACTTACTTCTTCTTGATAAAAATGATTATTTATATAACCAGTATTTCAAATGGATAGACTATTATAACATTATTGGACCCACAATCCAAGAGCACAACTATATGTGTGAGTTATGTAAGCGGCTCAATCGTCAAAATATCTTCCGAAAAATGTATTTTGATTTAAAACGCTGGTGGGAATCCAATTCCTGTGAGAATCCTTGGTGGTGAATATTTTCAAACAATTGAACTTATGGTGTGAAATGTTTATTTCTTGTAAAAAAAAAAAAAAAACTCTGATAATAGTATTTTATATTCTCATAACGTCTAATGACCAAAATAGAAAAATTCAAAAGTTCTTGTATAACTACACTTAATAATAATTAGAATATTTGTTAATGGTTGTCCCAAAACTATTAGAACCCTTAATATGTGTAGAAACATAAATGTGTATTAATATGTGTAGAAACATAAATTAGTTTTTCATAATTGCTAGAACAACTAATAAATTTTAACTATTATAATACTTATTAGTTATCCTGCATAATATTTTGTCTACTGTGAAATGTCTTTAACATTCAGAAAAAAAAAGTTCATAACATTTAAAAGGTTTGGTTTCACCTTCAATAGTACAAAAAATGACTAATAGCGAAAGTACCTTGAATAAGGTTATGGCGAATCCTTATAGCTTATCAAATGTCCTCAAAACTTCAAACTTTTCTCTGGTTGTGAATACATATTGAATACACTAAGCCTAGTTTGAATATCTATAACTTTACAACATTTCTAATATCCAGAAGGTCTACTGATGAAATAGGTTACCAGAATTCACCACTAGAAGTTTTACAATGATTATGATTTTAGAAGACTGTCTGTAACAATCATAGTTTAATAACGATTAAAGTAATTGGAAAGCGAAAGAAATTTAGAAGAAAACACTGGTGTCCTCATTTTTAATGGTACACATCTACAGGGTTTAAATGACGATGGTTTAGTAAAACAAAAAATTGGAATGATAAATATAACATATTATGCAGGTTTATTGAGTTATATTAAAACAATTTTGGAGTCTCGCCTCGTCGTTATAGTCCATGTTGCCCTATTTGGTCATGCTCTGTTTGACGCTGCAGCTTGACAATAGTTCAGCAGTATATTTTCGATTGCAAAAGGTTCAGTCGCAAGGTTCTCATGTCCGAAGTACATCCATCCTCCCTGCTGGCTTCTCATGATAAATCTAGTGTACAAGGACGACGTTTTCCGAACGGCTGTTTTAGTATTCCTATCGCACAGATATCCATAGGCGCTGTGTTCGGCAACTTGACCTGTATGTTTCCGTATGAAAGAACGCGTGAATACCCTATTCATTCTCCTGTTGCTTGAAGTATGTGATGGTTGAACAGACATAACATGGAAGCAGCCTGTGTACACGTGACTTGTGTCGCTTTTCCAGACGAAGATTCTTTTTGATTATGTTGCGTACTGTTGTCGGGAGCAAGTGGATGGTTTCGTCTTCTTAGATTCTCGCCTGTTGCAAAGCGCCGTTCTTTTCTTACCACGCCTGGGGTACAACTTATTGCAGGTCTTATTCTGAGTGGTCATGGTACCCCAAGGCCATCCATATTCCTTTGTTTTGCTGTTAAATATAAGGGATATACCCGTTCTGGAAATTCTAAATTCCAAACCTAAACACTTCTTTGTGATCTAAGTGTATGAAATTTTGCATCGGAAGGGGTTGTTTATATACCCTTCGCAAGACTGATCACTTTTCGATGACATCACACAACCTACTTAACGTCAAACGATATCAAAATGTAGTTCTAATACATGCCGCTGTACCATGACTTTATATTGGTAGTGGTTGTCATGTGATATGATTTTAAAAACCATTTTAATAGAATGTTCTCAACCCTCTGTATATTTATCAGTAAGCACAGTAGTGCTTAGTATGGAGGAGTGGGCCCAAAAAAAATGGCCGACGCATATTATGTATTGTTCATCATTGTCTCAAATCTCTCTTATAACAACATAAGAAACTTTTATAAACGCCTAACTTAGGTGTTCAAAAGCTATTAAGACTTTCAGTTTATCCAGAAAACATCGCTAAAGTAGAGAACCGGTGACTAGCGTAACAGTCAAATGTTCTACTGATTATTCTGATTCTGGATGTGTATTCATCCCTACCTTGTTTCTGCACTTTTCGGCACTGCCATCCCTACATCAACCTTATTAGAAATATTACTTGTTTATTATTTTTGGTGAATATTTTAAAAGGATCTACGACGAGACTAACAACATATATATATCTTTTAAAGTTTAAGCTTTGTTTTTAAACCAGTATTTATCACTGTAACTTGTCCTCTCTTCAATTATCAGTGTATTTTTGGACACCTTTTTGAACCATCTTGATAAATATCTATTTTACACTATAGTTTAGTAATAAGGGTAGTTTTTAGTAAATAAACGTTAAACAATAAGCAAAAGTTCAAACAAAAGATCAACAAATGTCATGAATTATATATAAATCAGAGTCCTATATTAAATGTCACTATGCAAATAAAAATAACTATTGGAAGTTTATATTTTCAGTCATATTTTCGGTTTCTTTCAAAGGTGCTTGTGGAACATTGAGAGAAATGTTACTATTAATATTTTATGTTACTTGTAAAAGTACCATATTTTCTTACTCTTAGTTTAGAAAGATAGACTATTTGCTTTATTTAAATTTTCAATTTTAAAGCTCTTACATTATAACCAGGACAAGTAAATTAATAAACAACACTAGATGTCTTTAAATTAAAAAGAATTAATCTACTTTGAGATATGAAAATAACTCTCATGTCTATTTGAGGGTAGACTCTATGAAAGGGATTATGTAATTGTCTTCTTACTAAAAAATTATATATTTTTCTAAGCATAAAAAGCAAAAACGCGGAAGTGAATCGAAGTGTTAACTAATCACTAGTTAAGTCCACTAGCCAAGTTGTTAATTTCAATAATGTATAACTGTATACCCTACTTACTGTGACTGACAAACAACAAGCGTTTTCAGTTGTTAATTCTAAACAAGTATATAACCAGTTCTAAACATACTATTTCACTGGTATATAATTAGACCTTAGAATGAGACTAATATCTAAAAGAACTATAACATAAGGTTAACATTTAAATATATTTATCATAACGCATATGAGAAATCTAAGTGTGAGAAAATATCATAAAAGATAGACACTGACGTCCTAGCACATCGACATTTCTCCAATGTTTTTAAAATTGTCTAGAAATTTGTATAATTGTGAAAAGAAATAATACAAACATTTTAACAGTTGTATTTTATGCTTATTGTTTAGCTGTTTTATTTAATTATTTTAAAATAACCTTAAGAGACCAAGGTAATAGTATTTTATAAAATATTTATACATAGTTTAAACAAAAGGAACTATTTGTACAGATACACTTGAAATTCGTAGAAACATAAGATGAAAGAAAAAATCTTCATTATTTCAGAATTCTCTGTGAGAGCACACTTTATAAATTAGACATTTAGTGTTAAAGAACAATTTATCCAAATTATATTTACACGAATGTAAAATAGTAAATTTTAAAATGTTCACAACAGATGGCACTAGTAAACATTTTTATAATATGTAAAAATTAAGAACACAGTTAAAACTGTCATTAAGAATATCAAAATTAATAATATTAGCAAGTAATTTTGTTTTAGACTTATTGTAAGCTAAATAGTTTCATAAAAATAGTTTGTGCTTACTAAGGTGTGCCTTTTCAACTTAGAGCCACAAGTGATCTACGATAGGTTAGTTATAGCCCAAAGTATATGCAATGATACAGATTGTTTAATATTGCCCGATACGCATTTTAAACAATAGATGGCGATACGTACGATGCTAGTCATTAAAAAAAATTCAGAAACTAGTAATAAAACAATTATTATAAAATTGTTGAGATGGAAAAAGATAAGAAACTAGAGAGCATTTGAGATGGGAGGAAAATCTGCAATACCCATTCCTACATTCCACCATCTAACTTATATATGCATCCACCCTGTGATTGGTTGAATGCGGGTAATGTTGATTTTCCTTCCATCTCAAATACTATCTAGTTTCTGATCTTTTTTCATCCCTACATCCCAACAATTGTATAATAACATTTTTGATTGCTAGTATATATATTAGAATTTGTTTGTTTTTTCGTCGTTAAATACATAGCTACACAATGGATTATTTGTGCTCTGCCCACATTGATTATCGAAACTCGATTTTTAGTGTTATGAGCCATCAGACTTACTTAGAAAATGTAAATATTTAAAGTATATAAAGCATAATATTAAGACCTAATGAAAAGTATGTCTATACCAATTTATATTTTGTCAAACCTAAATATTTTATCCTTCTGGTGTATTTTGTTTAATATTTCAAACTAAATCCTTATTCAACAATTGTTGATTCATTAAAACATATAAAAGTTTACTTCATTCGAACTTAAAGTGAACTTTTTAATTTAAAGCTATTTCGATAAATCGTTTTCAGGAATTTCACAAAAATTTCAGAACATTAGACGGATAGGTAAAACACACATCAGCCTGGACTTATGACAACTGACTTGAATCGTGTTATTTTTCGTGATCCAGAAAAATGTCTTGCAACATAGAACTTTCAAAGATGTATGTTAATACCTGTACAATCAAGTCAGCGAAATCTCACATAAATATGGTAGAATATTATTTGTTCCATTAGATTTATCATTCTTTACATTTTAAGCTATTAAAGTGGCCAATTTTACATTTTCTGGGTCTAAAAATAAATATCACTTTATATCTTACCTCTAAAATGTTTGTCATAAACTATAACTGGAACTTCTTTAGATAGAGTTATGCAGATTCCGTTAAAGCGGTTGTTAAATGTATGCACAATATTTTCTCAATCTGAAGGTTTTTAATTTTGTGTTCATTTCTCATTCCTTATTTTAGTAGGAGTAAAATTTCATAGGAGCTTGTCTCTGAAAACTTACTAAACCTATCCCACGCTTTCCTTAAATTAATTTTGGACTTTTGAAACTAATTATTATCCTAGTTTTGCTCAGACATTTTATTAGTGTTTATTAACTAATTCTTACTCATTTATATGTAAGACATTATTTTGATTGTTTGCATTACATAATTTATATTTTCTCGAAAATATTAGGTCGTCAAAAATTAATGTCGCGTTTTGGAACACTTTCATTAACCCCCCCCCCCCAAA